CTTGAAGTCCTGGTGCACCTTTCGCTCCGTTTAATCCTGGGTATCCCGCCGGACCCGGAAGTCCTTTCTCTCCTGGTAGTCCTGGCGGACCAGCCGGTCCTGCAAACGAACAGCAAGCATTGAACAGGGACCGTCAAACAATGGAAAACGTCCTTGATTTCATATTATTTTTTTCTTTGGCAATTTAAAGAATATCGAGAGTTCCTCTGATAGGAGGAACTGTGATCGTCGAGTCACACTCGAGACGAAGGAGTGGAAAGGATTAAAAGCAAAGCACTCGTTAACGAAGCGAAAAATACTTCGACGTAATTGGACGTTTACCAGGATAACCGCGGTCTCCCTTCGGTCCCATCGGTGGCTCGATGCAATCGTCACCCTTGTCACCCTTCTGACCAACAAAGCCAACAGCGCCTATTCTTCCCACTGGACCTGGGAACCCTCTGTCACCCTTCTCTCCCGGTATACCGGGCAAGCAAGGTACACCAGGCACACCTCGCTCACCTTTGTCACCAGGCAGACCATCCCTTCCGCTCAATCCTGTAAATTTCATAGAACGAATGACATTAAAATTTATGTTATTCATGATAAACGTTCAATGATACGTTTCAATTGCTTTATGCCTAGACCTACGTAGTTTGTTTGTAATTTATTGTATTGTATTTTTATATATTTACATATTTATGCATATTTATGTATTTGCGTCCAAATCTGAATATCTTTATATATTATGTCCAAAGTCTTTATATATGCCGAAATCAACAGTTCACTTGAGGAAAATAATGATAGCAAAAGATAATTCTGTTTCCATTACCTGGGAATCCTGGTTCTCCCTTTGGTCCCGTATAACCAGGCGCTCCAGGAGGACCCTCTTTACCTTTCTGGCCCTTCTCGCCATACAAGCCCGGCAGTCCTCTCTCACCTGGTTTTCCATCCCGACCCGGTAAACCAGGAGGACCCATAAGTCCCATGTCACCCTTCTCGCCCTGTGGCCCAATAGGACCGTAAGCTCCCTGATCTCCTTTGGGTCCTGGTAAGCCAGGTAATCCTCGTTCTCCTTTCTCTCCCGGTCGTCCTGGTATTCCCTCTCGTCCGTGCTTCCCAGGCAGACCTGGCAGACCTTTCTCGCCCTTGACAGTCAATCCAGGAAGTCCTGTGGGTCCACGTGGACCTTCGTCGCCTAAAACAGCGCATCAACGTTTCAAGTTCATCAGCAAAATCTTGACTTTTTTCTCCCAGAGGCAATTAAATTGCAACTGCGGGGAAAACGCAAAGTGTCTGGTTGTGAAACAAGAATTATACCTTTAGGTCCAGAAAGACCTGGTGGTCCTGGATTTCCGACGGGACCTGGCGCTCCTCTGTCTCCTTTCTCACCGTCGTAACCAACCAGACCCTCTTCGCCACGGTCTCCTTTCTCACCGACTATACCTCGCAATCCTGGCATACCGGGTTCACCTTTCTCGCCTTTGATCGAAATTGTCGGCCCAGGCTGCCCCCGGTCACCTTTCTCCCCAAGTGCACCAGTGATACCAGGCTCGCCAACGGCACCTTAAGAAATTATTCGATTGGCCAGTTCGATTCTGATCAACTAACTTTCTTGAAAAGTCGAGAGGACGTTTCCTCGAGAGAGGAATCGCTTACCTGGGAAACCGCGATCTCCTTTGATACCGTTGAGTCCAGGACGTCCTGGAGGTCCCATTTCACCGTCAAGACCAGGGAAACCGGGCGGACCCTGAGGACCTATGTCACCTCGTTCGCCCGGTAATCCGTCGATTCCAGGTGTTCCGGGTTCACCTGGTGCGCCAATTGGTCCCTAAAATAATAATATCGAAATACTTTAAATTGAACTCTTCTCAGGGGAACAGAAAGAGAGAATTGAGTTTTCATGAATTAAGAACAGAGAAGACGTACTATATCTCCTTTGGGACCGGGGAAACCTCTCACTCCAGCGTCACCTTTCGGTCCCATAGATCCTGGCAAACCGTCGCGACCTGGCAGACCAGGCTCTCCCTTGAAACCTGGCTCTCCGTTCTGACAAGCACACGGCAATCCGTGATCTCCTTTTTCTCCGTCGAAACCGTCTCTACCGGGAGGGCCGCTGGGACCACGGATTCCCGGCATTCCTGGCTCACCCTTCTGTCCCTTCTCCGAGACTCGTCCTGGCTCTCCTTTGCGTCCCTAATGAAAATTAATCGTTGCGATTAATCGTTGCGACACGGACCAGAAAAGAAATCATTTCGTTCGATTGATTTATTGAAAAGTTTCCAAAAAGGTGAAATTGAATCATCACTGTATTAGATTCTTAACCTATAAACCTAACCTAAATTGGCTGCTTACAGATGTAAAGAACTTACTGGCAATCCCAGTAGTCCTTCATCATCTTTAGGTCCTTGGAATCCGATAGGACTGTGTTAGATTCTTAAACCTAATCTAAACCTAACCAAAATTGGCTGCTTACAGATATAAACAACTTACTGGCAATCCCGGTAGTCCTTCATCATATTTAGGTCCTTGGAATCTGATAGGACTGTGTTAGATTCTTATACCTAACCTAAACCTAACCTAAATTGGCTGCTTACAGATGTAAAGAACTTACTGGCAATCCCGGTAGACCTTCATCACCTTTAGGTCCTTGGAATCCGATAGAACCAGGAAGACCGACTGGACCAGCAGGACCTAGGTTTCCTTTCAGTCCAGGCAATCCAGGGCGACCAGGTTTCCCTTCCTTTCCAGGCAACCCGGGGAAACCAGGGTTGCCTTTGTCGCCGCGTTCTCCTTTCAGACCAAACGCTCCTTCTATACCAGGCCTGCCTGATAGACCAGGCGAGCCTCGTCTTCCCGGGAAACCTTTCGGTCCGTCCATACCCGGCTCACCGCGATCACCTTTCGCACCTGGGAATCCCGGCAGTCCTGGTTTGCCAGTCTCGCCTGGGAATCCCGGTTCACCTGCCACGCGAAACAAACACGCACGTTTACAATTGTTACACTAGTTTTGTAGGAGTTTGTAGAATCTTCGAAACTATACTGCTGACAAAAATTGGGGGATGTTATATTCTATACAATAGTGCCTTTGAAAGTCAACAACAACAATCGATCGAACAAAAATCAAATGTATCAAATCATATCAATGTCAGCTAATTTTTGTGAGCAGTGTAGTTTGGAAATTCTAGAATCTAGGAATCTCGTACCTTTACTTCCGTCTATACCAGGAGTTCCAGCAACACCAGGTGGTCCTGGAGGTCCAATAGGACCAGTGTCACCCTTCTCTCCCGGTATACCGGGTAAACCGCTTATTCCTGGCAGTCCCGCGTCGCCCTTCTCCCCGGTAAATCCTGGCAGACCTGGCAGGCCAGGAGGGCCATCTTTTCCCGGTGGTCCCGGAAGACCTTTCTCTCCCTTTATACCCGGCGGGCCAGGAAATCCGGGACTGCCCTTCACCGATATACCAGGTTCGCCTTTCCCTCCTTTGAAACCCGGAGTGCCTGGGAAACCTCTGGGTCCTTCGCGACCCGGTTCTCCGGGGAAACCCATCGGTCCCATGTTCCCCTTGTCACCACGCTGACCTGGTAACCCTCTTGGTCCAACCAAGCCAGCTTCCCCAGGCGGGCCTGGTGGTCCAGGTGAACCCTGAATTCGTAACACGAATTATTGTGCAATTTGTCATGCGATGTTGTTAAACTAAAGGAAGGACAGTCTATATAATATTTACCGAAAAACCTTGTAAACCTTTGTCACCGCTTAACCCATCTCTGCCTGGCGGTCCTGGCTCTCCTTTTTCACCAGGGGCGCCCCTGTCACCCTTGGCGTTGATTAAATCAAAGGGTATTGGACAATGACCTTATTTCAAAAAGGAAAAAGTAAAACAGAAGTAATAAATTTACGCGTTCGAAATAATTCAGTGTGAATTACAAAACGCCACGTGAGTTCGTGGAAATATGAACAAGTTATTCACCGGGTTCTCCTTTGTCTCCGTATTGACCAGGTTCACCCTTCTGACCAGCTTCACCTGTTCGGCCTGGTTCTCCAGGCTCCCCTTTCACGCTAATACCAGGTTCGCCTTTCCGACCGGGAATACCTGGTCTTCCGGGAATACCATCTTGCCCAGGGAACCCACGATCTCCCTGAAGACAATGAAAGAGAATAATTGTCAAATGTCAATTGTCAAGCCATCGTAGGTCGTGTAGTAACAAGTGTTTTCACTGTTATCTCTGATGTTAGATAATGATAACTGCATAAATACGGATCTTATAGGAGAGTATACTCACAGCAGTGCCCTTGGGTCCTGGGAAACCTTCAAATCCCATAGCGCCTTTCTCTCCAAGCGGACCTGGAGGTCCAGGCGGACCATCTCTTCCTACCAAACCTCGCGCACCTTTATCACCTTTTTCCACCTTGAGCATATTCTCTGTGACCACTGCTGGAGTACCGGGCTCACCTTGAGGACCCGCTGTACCAGGAATACCATCTTTTCCCTGGAAATTCGTAGGATAGTGCAACGATTCCTTCGTTTGATAGCTGGTAATTAGTACCAATGACAATGACAAAATTATCAATGTATCAACTTGGTCTCGTTCTTCTACTTTGACACTCGTTAGTTTGTTCTTTCATAGAAACATTTAAAAAATTATTTCGTGACTAAATTTACCATGGCTTTGAAGACTGAAACTTTCTTTTTACAACGAGCTATTTTTTACCTAAAACTCGCTATGCGATCTTTTTTTTCGCCATTTTATTGAACTTGAAAGCATTAAAGCTAGATGACGAAATATAAGGATTTCCGGCGTTTAACGCTAAATATTTAATCTTCAATGGTGAAATTAAAATATTGAAAAAAAAATTGTACAATACATCGTAAACTTTAATCTTTAAAATGATGACAGATTCGCTTAAGAAAAAGAATTTTTGACAGTTTTTAAATTTCGACGATTTTCGAGGAAAACAGTATTCGAACCTTCTCATTTGTTACACGATGTAAAATCATCCTCGGAAAGAACTGATCGACGACTGTCAAAGTAGAAACTTCACCAAGTGAATCATTGTGTAATCTCTTTCTTTTTCATCATCGTCATTGTCACAGCTTATGTTCTTTGCTGTAAGTATAATATTTCACGTAGAAGTGCAACTGATGTAATAAAAATCTGTCGAAGATACCGGTGGTCCTGGTGGTCCAATTGGGCCGGGCAATCCGTCGGTGCCCGGTTCACCAGGGAATCCTCGTTCTCCAGGTGGACCTCGTGGTCCAGGATGTCCAGGCTGGCCGTCGAAACCGCGATCACCCTTAAGTCCTGGCAATCCTGGCAAACAATCTATGCAACGTCCTCCAATCTCTCCTTTCTCGCCAGCTGCTCCTGGATATCCTGGCATTCCATCTTTTCCTGGGGTTCCCGGCTCTCCTGGCAAACCAGGCCCACCCGGCACTCCCGGTATACCATCCACGTCGCCAGGGACACCGCGTGGTCCTGCGTAACCGCGTTCTCCCTTCTGACCTTTCTCGCCGTCTATACCGGGCGCTCCGTCCATTCCTTTAGGTCCCTACAGTCGAACAAGATTTGATAATTTCAGAAATATTAATTAGAAGTATAACATAAAATTTAAGAACTCGTAACGTGACAATTAATACTTTCTAATTAATTTAATTAGAATAAAAATTTTTAAAAATGTTTGACAATTTTAGGAA